TAGGAACTGTCCCATTACACATCACATTAGTACTCTGGGAGAGGAGGAAGCCTCTTTAATGTACTTCCCCTTTTACTGTGACCACCAGACTTTCATTTTCCTATCCTGTAACGAGCCATAAAGCGTCTGCATTTTTTCCCTTTTTAATGGTTTCTGTTTTGATATTTTTGAGTGCACCTCCAAAATGTTTTAGTGGTTTTATTTCTTTTTTTTTTAAAAAGGTGCTGCAATTTTGGGATTTGTGTTTGTTCGTTGTTGCAAATCCATCAATTACAAACAAGTGGACACTTAAAACATCTGTTGTAGGTGAAGTTCAGAAACCCTGAGTGGACTGTTGGAGCTGCATCTGCGTTCTTTGACCTGGTATTGCAAATGTGTGAATTTTTTTCACTTTCAAATTTTGTTTTAAAATACTTTGAATTAAATCAGAAAGATGTTGGTGGTTGGTCACATGATAGTAACTTGTATTAGTTGCATATTAGCTTTCTTGAGACCAACATGTCAACTATCCATCCCTAATGTGAAGATAAAGACAGCTTAAACTGTAGACTACTGCTGACAGACGGTGAAGTGAAACATAATGTGGCTTTTATGAAGTTTTGTCACTTATGAAACGGAAAACACTCAGCAGGCTGACTCATACATGCACATCGTGCTTTTTCTTGACGTTGTGGCCAGATTTCTGTTTTACGTTTAAAAATAGAAGAAATCTTCTTGCTCTGTAAAAATGCTTCCTCGTTTGTAGACCTCTGCTGACTGCTGAAGCTTAATAATTTCTAATATTAATAATAATAATACATTTTATTTGAGGGCACCTTTCTAAAACCCAAGGTCACACACAAAGAGAAAAAGACATCAATAAAACATCCGATTAAAATAGATTCTAATAAATGAAAATATAAAAAACAGCAAAATACAACCACAAACAAATAATTAAAAAAAACAACAACAACAACAACAAGATTTGACAGCAAGTAAAATCTGTATTAAAGCAAGTTCGCAATTTCTGAAACCTGTTACATAAAGTCTGTAGATGTAAGAGTATTTTTTATTCTGGGGAAACCTGGATGAGTACACTCCATCTGAGGTCTCCTACATCAAGCACTCCATGAACACCGTCGCCACCGACAAATGCATCTGGGGATCTGCCAAACTAAAAACCCTGGCTGACGAGGAGATTTGCCTGCACAGGATGACCCCAGAAAGTCATCAGCACAGTGCTCTCCTCTTCTTAGAGGAGCTCTACAGGTCTCACTGCCACAGTAAAGCCCGCAGCATCCTGGAGGATGCATTTCACCCAGCACCTCACCTGTTTCAAGTGTTACCTCAGCAAGGTGGCACATGAGACAAAGGCCTGTTTATTTCACCTTCGGTGATGTCGCATTTCTATGGAAAGTGCCAGTGCCAAAACAGCTATTTCTGCTATTGAGCCTTGTTTGGTGTCTCTTTTGTTGTGGAAAAATGTGGAAGAACCACACACAGCCACAACAGCCTGGCTGCTCCTCCTCATGCTGGTCTGGATGCCAGGTGTGGTCACACACTGACCAAGCTTGGCTTCCTGTTCTTCAGCCAGGATTTGTTG